TATATATATATTCAAAATTTTAAAGTCGAAAGGATTGGCTAACGCACCTGAAGATGGCTGGAAACGATGAAGCCGCCTTTCTTCCCGCCGGACATGTCAAAACGAAGCTTCTCCTCCGGCAGCAGATCGAAGAACTCCTGAGCAAGGCGGGTCATGTCTGCGATGAGGCCTGTGTCGACACCATGGTCGATGACCTGAAAGATTCCCCAGTCCTCGCACGCTGCCACAATACTCCGGCAAATCTCTGACCTTCGACCTCCATCTCCATTCTCTTCGATCCCCTGAAGCGAGATCACCGGAATCTGGTTACTGAATTCGTTGTAGGCTACCTTTGGCCTCTCGTCCTCATCCCGTACAAAGCTTGCTCTCAGTGTCTTCTCTGTAACCGCAGTCGGTAGGAATGGTATTGGGGCCATCTCTGTCTCTCTGTGACTTCTTACAAAACAGAGGAATTATATAATGGAAGGAAGCCGAGAGCTAGCTTTTCTCACGCTCTCTGGACTTCTAGAGAATCAGCTAAAGCCAGAAGGTGAGGAAGGTTAGGTTGGAAGGAGACTTCGCATGTGTTGCTAATCTAGCTACGTATATATTAAATTTTCATAATATTTTTTATTATGACTATACTTATAAATATTTTAAAATAAATTATTTTTTCATTATCACCCGCGAAATGGGGGGTTGAAAACGAGCCGAACACGAGCGGGCCTAGGCTCAACTCGTGTTCGGCTCGTTTATATGTCGATCTCAAAAATTGTGTTCGTGTTCCACTAGTTTGCTTAACGAGCTAAACACGAGTCGTTCACGAACAAAGAGTCGTTTTGACAACCCTAATCACGTAGTCATTAGATGTTAATGATTAGTATAAGATTTAAAACATCATTTGAATCTAATTTAATAATTTTAATTATATTTTATTTTTTAATACTTTTAATTGATTATAAATTTTTTTAGTCTTTTAGTTAATTAAATTTTTGAAAAAGACTACCCATCAAGGATATATATATAATTGATTAGTAGTGTTTCGAGTTAAAACGAGCCGAACATGAACGAACAAATATTTATTCATGTTCGGCTCATTAACTTATCGAACGAGTAGAACACGAGCTGTTCGCGAACAACGAGCCGTCTTGGCAGCCCTAATCACCCGCAAAATTTATTTGTTGTCCGAATGCTGCCCATATAAATGGTTGTTTGGGATTAATTTTTTTATTATTTTTTTCACTTTAAAAATACATTTGTTTAATATTTTCTTGTATATTTTTATTTTTTATTTTTAAAAAATAAACTTATATGATTTTAAAAATGATCAAAATGTGTTTTAAATATTTTTTAAAATAATCATATTTACATCTAATAATCAAATATATTTTTTTTTCAAATTAGCATATGAATAAAAAATGAAAATAAAGTATTCAAAAATAAAATATATTTGGCTATTTGATAAAGAATAATTGTTTTTAAAATAATAAAAAAAATTTTAAAGAATTTTAGAAATGTTAATTTATTTTAAAAAATGAAAATATGTTAAATAAATATGTTTGTAAAATTAAGATAAAAATTAAAAAAAACTCAGAAAAGCCCGAAGTTTTTTAAATTGTTACATGCAAAATCTTAAAGGCGAATGGCTTGCGACTGATGGCAATGGTCAGAACTCGGACGGATCAAGTAAAATTAATGTTGGATTTGCCCGTATAAAAATTTCTGCACGCAATATGCGCAGATTTTTTTGCCAATCCCTACATATACCGCATTCAGAGATGCATGCGATGTTCGATCCTGGCCGTAAATCATGGTGATCTACGATCATGATGTATTTCGGTGGACCCCACTTTAAATTTTTTTTTTCAAAAAAAATTTGATTGCATCCTGACCATAGATCACCGTGATCTACGGTCAGGATCAGACACCACATGCATCTCTGCATGCGGTGTATGTATACAATATTTTTTCGTACAGGTGGGCTTTGGTAAGTAGATCGGGCGGCTAAGAGAAGTGCATTTTCTGTTCGGACTCCTGACGTAGTTCTATGTATAGCGTATGTTATTCTGGGGTTATTTTTAGGTTATTTCTGAGTTATTTTTAATAATCCTAAAACAACTCAGAAATAACCCGCGGTCTTTATTTTTAATTTATTTTTGGGTTATTTCGGTATTATTAAAAATAATCCAAAAATAATCTGAAAATAACTCAGAAATAACTTCGGTCGCACATAGAGCTACGTCAGGAGTCCGCACACAAAAATTTTGGGCTAACCCGAAAATAACTCAGAAATAACTTCGATCGCACGTAGAGCTAGTCAAGAGTCCGCACACAAAAATTTTTTGGGCTAAGAGACGATTTTTTTTTCATTTTCAGGAAAAATGTAAAATAAACTAAAGGTAAGAAAATAATTAAAAAAAAAAAACTAGCTTTGTCAGCAAGTGCTTTCACAACTGGCTTTATCCGACCGTCAAATAATAATCTAAGCACGGAAGACTAGCGGTTGGAATTATGACTTCTTGAGTATCTTCTCGTAGATTTTATTGGGCCACGCTGTTTGTATTATTTTGTAACAGGGGGATTTTCATAAATACCACCTAAAATTATCCTATTTATCTAACTAATACTTAAATACAAAATTTTAAATATCAAATCCGATGTTAAACAAGAAGGAGAAAATGTTCGAGATTTATTAATTTAATAAGGATTAAACTGAAAATTTGACTAAGTGATATAATAAATATAATTTTAAATTAAATATGATCTAATAATGATAAATATAAAAACAGTAATCTCAAATTTAATTTTTAATTCAATATAATTTTTTACTTTGGAAACCAAAAGTTCCTGACTTGAAAAATTATTGCATACGGACACCTCATGCAGAGATGCATGCGATGCAGAGATGCATGCGGTGTCCGATCTACACCGTAGGTCACGGTGATCTACGGTGAGGATGCAATCAAATTTTTAAAAAAAAAAAAATTAAAATGGGGCCACCGAAATACATCCTCAATGTAGATCACCGTGCTCTACGGTGTGGATACCGCATTTATCTCTGCATGCGGTGTCCGTATGCAATAATTTTTTCCTAGATTGACTGGGAGGTAAAACCAACATCTTCTTTTGGGGAGATAAATTCTTTTCACTTCTTCCTTATGTTTTTCAAGAAAATGAAACATTTTTAAAAAAAATTCTTAATTAATTGATTCGATTGATTAATTATCACTAAGAAATGATAATTGTTGGTATATCACCCAATCCCTATGTATTTATATACCTAATATATTTATATAACTGAAATCTTTAATATCACATGAAAAGTGCCGCTATTTTAATGTTGATAGAGTGAAATACACCATTGCATGCATATATATAAGGTGGTATATATGTAAAAATTAAAGTCTTGTTGCTAGATATGTAAATACATTAGAATTGAGCGGTATATAAGTAAATGTTCCTTTTTTTTAAATAGCTATTTCCCAACATTTCCCATGCATTATAAATACAATAATAAAAAAATTTTAATTGTAAATTTACCATGAGATATACTAATAGAGTAATCATTGATTTTTTCAGTACAAAATATTAAATTTATCAATCCATCAAACGAATGGTTTGCTTAATGGCATAAGTAATTCACAATTAATCACGCCACGGGCGAGAGCAAGTCATCCGCCTGCTCCATTAATCACGTCACCACATTGCTAATCATCTCCAAGGCCATGATCTCCTTTTCCTACTTGAAGCACTTACATCCTTCATCGCACACTGTCGTCTTGCATTTGTGCTCCGCCAAGATTTTGTCATCGGTTTGTGAAGAGCCGAAGAGGTAAGGGCAATTTAAGGGGTCACTCTCATCAATTTAAACTCTAAAATTCAGAAGGGCGCAGTTTTGCTCCGTCATTTGCCCCTCCTGGTCCCAACTTAGGTCCGCCTCTGCCTCGACTTAAAAGTAGAGCTTCACGCATATACGAAGTTTTCTAGCTTCATTATGAATCAACGATAACAAAAGTTACAGTCAGCATTTCATGTTGTTGTAGATTTATGAGGTTACACATCCATCAGTAACCATTTGATTTGCAATATGCTTTATAAACAACCAGATGAGACATAAACCTTGGCAGGTAAAAACCAAGTATTGGCAAAAAGCATTAAGGAAACCGACACAGTGCTTTGGAACATTTCTGATACGACTAATTCGGTGTCCTGACAAAATGCAACGAAGAGTACTGCAAGATTTATACAAATTAAATGTTACAAATGCAAATTAAAATATACTAGCAGTCAAACAGGCTCTTACAAACTCAATACAATATACTAGTGGATTGGCAAATGTATCAGAGAGAACGGGAAAAACAAACTTATAAAAATATGTTTTAATAGACCTTTGTTACTTTTTAGACATATGGAAGGATAAACCTCCATTTAAAAGCAAAAAAGCATTCTCCAAAGGACCCTTGTTACTTTTTGTAGCTTAAAAATAGGCCCTCGCCGAGCTCTAAGAATTGCCACCACCGGAGACGCACCAAGGACCTCGGAGATGTCAGTTATCTGGGCGGCCAAACCATGGTAGGGCAGCACCATCGCCCGCCGACCACCACTTGTGGGTCAGCCATTCTTGTGCTGACAACTTCCCAACTGGCAGGCTACTTGATCAATCAACCATCTGATTAGTCCGCCACCTCCCAACCAGTCGGCCAAAACTAGAACCGACCGACCTACCTTGGGTCGGCCACCTTCATACTGGCCGACCTACCTGGGCCCGCCATGTTGGACAACTTGGGCAAGCCACCTCTAGCCCGACACCTAACGCCTAAAAGTCTGGTGGGGAAAAACATTAGGAGGACCGATCTAAGCAAGGGAAAGGTCGAAATAACCCTCTTATGTCCCCTTAAAGTAAGGGTGTGAATTTAAGATTCATTTTTCCCTTCATTTCTCTATAAATAGAAGACCCATTTGCATGTAGAAGGGGTTCATTTAAATTCATTTTCTCTCCCCCTCATATAGGGAGCTTGTTTTCCTTCTTTCTCACTTGTAACTAAAGTTGTGTAGAGTAATAGAGGTCACCAAGCCTGGGGAACACCCCGCTTTATCCCCCGACGTGGAAACCTCATCTCTTTCTCCTTCCCCATAAATCCTGCTCTTTTCCTTGGGCACAGTCCAAATGACAGATTTGAATTCAACACTATGAGACTTAGGAACTTAACAAAATTTATAATGAATGCTTTGTCCTTTGAAATGGGCAACTACCGTTGATATGCGGCGGTGAAAGACGACGAAGCCAAACTACTACAAAGAAAGCGAGCAGCCTTAACGATGGTGAGCAGTTCAAACGACACCAAGCGATCCACTGTGTCTCCCTCTGATCCCCTCAAGAAGGCAATGCATCGTGGAACTGGGAAGTGAATGTTTTTTTCATGACCTAGGGCTTTTTTACGACTTACGAGCCGTGTAACTAAAAAGCGTTCAACAGGTTTGTGATCCAAAGGTTAAACCGCTGGTTCAATCTTTTTTGGCCGGTTCACATCCAAAAAAATTATTTTATGTATGGTTTGGGTCAGATTGG